GGGGGGCAAAGAGGAAAAATTCTCAGATGTATCTCATTCACGACAATAAATGCTCTCCCAATTTCATCGTCATCATCATCATCATCATCATCATCATCATCATCATCTTTATTTGTCTTATTTTAACGATAAAAAGATTTATTTACAGCGATAACGGCTAGAAGGCGAGGAGACCCAAGAAGCCACCAGGCTTATGGGTGAGCCACCTCACTTACAATAATATATCAAGTAAGGAAAAAGTGCTGCGAATGTGCAGCTTGGCCAATTCGGTGATTATTTACTTCTCTCATTTTATGTATTTTTTTCTTTCTTTTTAGTTGTGTATGACATCCGTGTTCAAAACCAGGTAGGATGACACAGCAAGGGGGGCAAGAGGGGGAAGACGCTTTTTCCAGAAGAAAAGTATTGTTTCCATTCAAAGGTACAAGAAAAATTTTTTAACTGTGGATATCACAGTTTGAGGTATCGAAATGGGTATGGAAAAGTGCCGCGGATTTTTTTTTACAGGGTCTAATGGTGGATTTGCAATGTTGACTCTAAAGAAAAACCAGGACCATTTAAACCCCCACAATTTAACAGCGTTAGGAAGTAGGTTCTTTGTTTAAATTATCGTTGAATTCTCTCACGGAAGACTTTTATTTTTCCATTACAGCCACGCTTTCTGCTCGATCCTAATAATTATTGGTTCCCCTCAGGGAACACGAAAATGTTTGAGACAAATTTTTCTTTTGAAGCGACACACATCATTCGGTCTACAAAATAAATTTGCTTTTAGGTGCCTCTTTAATGCCTTCTAAGATCAGTGAAACATCCACTTGACAGGTTTTCAGGCGAAATTCATTGTGTTGTTATTTGGTTTGTTATTAAGCCAAACCTCTTCTGGCGCCAAACGTGGGCACGTGGGCACAATTTCAGTAAACTATCATGCTGCATTGCGTGGAATGTTTCGTCCTCAGCAAGATTGTTGTCTAGAGATTAACCTTTTAATGTTCTAACTTTTTTTCTCAAATTTTGCAAAAATTCCGACGGAACTTCGTATATAATTTTGATTTTACAGCTAAGAGGGCAAGTTTTTAAAGGGCTTTACAGTAAAGTAAACTAAAATCAGTTGATTTGAATTCAAGGTTCGTCTTGATGAAACTTTTATAAGAAAAACAGATCAATTTGTCTAACAAAACATGTCTCTTCAGAGAATGAGTTTCCGTGGGCGAATTTTCTGCTTTTATTTTGTTTATCTGGCCTACAACATTGCCGTCAGCAATAAAAAATAATGAGACTACTAACATAAAGCAAGATGTTTTTCGTTTTTTTAAGAGCGTGCGACAAAAAAAAAAATTTTAATCTTTTTGAGAAGTCGAGCGTCAGACCTACGGCAGAATCCGCGCTCCGCTTAACTTCAAAGCCACAGAGACTCTGGCGCCAGTGAGTTGGGTCATTCTCTTATTATCATAGGTTCCCATGTACTGTTTTAACATGTTTTGAATCTCTCTTCTCCAGAGTATACACATTTACCCGTGCTTTGTTAATCACGACCTCAAGCATGTAAGTTCGTAGAGTGCTCAAAGGCTTAAACTTGCATGAAAGGTACTAGACACGATTCATACTTCCAAGTTCGTCGTAGTTTAGGTTTTTATTCTTATACTTTTTATTCTTATACTATTTTAAGTATAACGCTAATCTTTTTTTAGTGTTTCGGCAAAGCTAAGCCGTGAGTGAGACTTTAACTGGAAGCTTTGCCTAGTAAACATTACGTGACCAATCCGAAGGTACTATACTGGGATTGATATAAACACGATTTGATAAGCAAACTCTTTTAGCCTTAATTAGTTTTGAATTCGAGAGGGAAGTTCAAGAGGCCATCTCTGTTAGATTCCTCTATCTATTTCGGGTTATTTCGAAGACTTCCACAAGACTTTACATGGTACACTTTGGGGTGTGAATTGATGGTTAAAGGTTGAAATATGGATTCCGAGTCCCACTCTTGAGGCACCTAGCCCAGTAATAAGTGCAAAATAAAATTCCTTCTGTCAGAATGCTTCATTGAATACTATAACTTGCCAAACTGCACTACCTACACTGAATAAATGTATTTAACTCAGATCATTTGACTGTATTGTATATTGTAAAAACAAAATCTTATTCGAACCATGCAATGTAAAAGAAAAAGCCTCTAAGAATTAAAAAACACGGAACTTACATAAAACAAGTGAAACACCATTAATCAAGTCGGGATGGGTTCTAGTTTACCATCTGATTGGCTAAGAAAGTGGCCAATCACGAAACAGGTAAGGCAATGACAATTAGATACCAGGTTGCAACCAGCACTTATTAAGTTTTCTTGTAAAGTGTGTGAGATTGTATGAAGAGATTGTGAATTTTAAGATACACGAATACTTGTATTTTTTTTTTGAAAAGTTCTAAATTTTCTCTGGCCCGCAGCTCGTGCAATTTTAAGAAATCTTTACTGAAAAGAATCTTCCGTGCCCATAAATCTCGAGAAGGACGAGAACCACTCATACTCGTCTTGCCATCCATAGAACAACAATGTAAATTCTTAACTGAAAAATTAAGGTTATTAAATTCCATAGAATAAACGATTCAGTTCGGGCGAAATTTGTACCTCGCATTTTTTTAATTGCGACACCACACAAGAATTTTAAATTGTTTATGTTTGAAATGGCTCCTCGCGTATCAAATAGCAATGATGCAGCAAAATCGACGACGATTCGTTCGAAAATTTGAAATCCAAAGTCAGTCATTTAATGAAACTTCGACTACAAAAGATGGCATTTTTGACTGAGTTGCGGGTCATAAAAACGTTTTTACGAACGTAAGGGATAGTTGTTGCTGGTAAATTCTGTTAACTTGCCTTACGGCCGTCAAAATAAGGAGATATTTCTTCACTCGTGTCCGATTGAAATTTAAAATAAGGAATTTATCATTACTTTGATGACGTGATCACAAGAGTTATTGCAGAAGCAGTGTTTTCTTGTATGGCAATCGTCCCTTTTACAGTTGTGGGCTTGGTGGCCAAGCCTTTGAACAGGAGTGAGGCTAAGGGTGATCCTGTTGTGATAGAGACCTGTATCTAGTTAGCATGATAACAAAGTAATTTGCATTTGAAAAGCAGCAATATCTCTATCATAACAAGGTCACCCTAAGCCTCACTCCTGTTCAAAGGCTTGGCCACCAAGCCCACAACTGTAAAAAGGACTATTGCTATGATCATAGTTATAGCAAACATAGAAGCATTGACGGCAATTATTATTTTTGTTTGGTCAATTTAGCAACACGTGCTAATTAGCTTCCTCCACTCGGTACTGCACGCTTAGTAACTTGGTCTCCGTGCCTTATTAATTAACGCCGAGGTTTTTTTTTTTCTTTCCTCTCGTTTGTTTTTCTGTTGGCGAAAAATATCAAAACAAAATGATTAACAGGAGACAAAGTAGATTCCCACGTAATAGCTTTAACCGGAAAAAAACATTTACTTAAGAAATATCTTCTGATTTTCTGTCGTGATAATAGGGTTTAAAATGCTACATTAGGTGTACTGTGGCTCCGTGATCTGCCACCGAAAGAACTACTTGCTCCTTTATTTGGCAAGTGATTTTAACATCTTTAAATGTATCAACCAATCAAAATGTCCCAGTCGTACTTGAAAAATCAGTCGGCGAGCGCTTCGGCTGAACTCGCGGTGACTTTCACGCCTGCACGTCCACATCTACCTTTCTTTGATTGGTCCGCAACCAGTGGGAAACCAGTTGCATCATTTCAAAGGATATGGAATATAAATGAAAACATATGGCATGAACCTTTTAAGCGTACCGCTTGTTTAAAAAATAGATCAATTTAGATTAAAGGAAAAAGTGTTTATAACCTGGTATGATTCCAAACCTTGTCTGGATTTCTTTCATCTATAATCAGGTTTCACTTGGTAAAGGATATCGCATCTGTATAAAATTTAGCTAGAACTGGAGCCTTGGAAAATAGTAGTAACGCAGTGAAATCAGGTAAATATGTAAATCGCTCTACATCGATTTTTGAGAGATATTTTTTGTTGTAAAAAGTAATTAACCTTTTAGGAAATATAGACTGAATTTACACTGTGAGGCAAACTACTCAAAAAAGTTTATACAGTTTTTAAGTTTTTATCCTAGCAAAACGTAAGAATATTGAAAGATGATCAATGTGGTTTTCAATTTTATATAATGATCAAAAGATCCCAATGTCGCAATTTCCCATAATTTTAAGATTTAAATCTCTACAATTTGCATCAAAGCTTTTGCAACTTGGCGGGAGTTTTAAATCTTGGATCGATTACTTAATAACGTGAGCAATCACGGAAAATGACTCGTAACAGTCTGGCTAGAAACAAAACAGGGGGAAAAGGCCATGTGACTCGAGTCCCCTTTCGCTTAAGGAGGAAATTTCACTTAGCTGAAAAGCTGATGAATATTCCGCACCCTAACTTGAAAGCATGAGTGTACGAAGCTGTTTCCAACTTAATTGTAAACAGCAGGTTTAACAAAGGAAGGAGAAAAGATTCAGATATATTTATATGTTCGCTTTCAAAACAAGTTATTTTCATCAGCAGAGGACTTGTTTATGTTTGAAACAGTCACGTGCTTTGTAGTTGCCATCTAATTTTTTCGTCCACGCAACCACAAAAATATTTATGAAATTTGTTTTAATGGAATTATCGGCTATATTCACTTTGTGTTAGCATTTAATTCGTTTTCGTGTTAGCTTCAATAGATGGGCCTAATAATCTGAGAAAGGTAGACCTAACAATGTGGAAAACTCTAGAAACATGCAGTTCATGGGCTATATTAACACTGTGATGCAAATCAGTTTCATAAGCTCTCGTGCATTTCAGATGACCTCAATAAAGTATTATCTACCACAAAACCAAAAAAGCGAAATATGCGGTAGAGGTAATAGAAAATGACCAACCACATGCTCTTAATGACGTCATCCATCGTTACCTTAGCGATCAATTTGCACTAAGTAAAGGAAGAAATTTTACGAGAAAAAATCTAGCAGCTACTGTTGATGACCATTAATTGAAACGATTCTCTAGAAAAATTGACTTATTCTTACCTTTACAGCAAACCCACTTTTTACCTTTTATATTTATTCAAAACTACTCTTTATTTACAGTCAGACTGACGCATTGACATAACCACTCAGGAAAATATTTAGTAGCAGGTGATATAACAAGGATCACACGATTTATGTTCAGCAGCAAGGTTCTTCAGTTTCTGGTTTACATCATCAGGCAAAAATCAACCTTTCACTTTTGAGGAGGAAATAAAAATGCATTCAATTTTAATAAATCACTCTCGACGTGTGGGTAATTGCTAATTCATTATGACCGCATAGACGCCACCAGTTTTGGGAGGAATTTTGAGGGAAACATGC